CCCGGGCAAAATTCTAAATTTCCTACCAACTGAAAATATTAGGAGTGTCCCGCGCGCTCATATGACCTATGCAGTTGCGAGCGCCGTAAAACACTATACAAAAACAAAACAAAACCCAGTATGTCTAGAGTGTCGTATCCGCTAACTATTCAAAGGAGGACAGGTAATCCCCTGTACATATTGTACACCCACGGTATTTACGGAGCTCACGCATCACGCCAGCAGAGACAAACGTCAATCCCGGCGTCTATGAGCGCAGCGGTCACGCCTCTCGCCTTGGACAAGGACGACATGAGTTCGATTCCCACATGGAAAATATATATATTATATGATTTGTGTTTCATCCAGCCGCTACCCTAGAATTACAAAGTTACATCTGCTCAGCATCTAGTTTTGAGAAACTTGAGGTAAACAAATTTTGAGTTTCAGAACATGTCCAGTTACTCTTTAAAATGCAACTCTCTGAATACCTTGATACCGACTTCAAATAATCTTACGATTTTGATAGAGCAGATAAAGCATTTGGTTTCTGATCTCGTGGTAGCTCAAAACAACCCCCCCCAAAAAAGTCAGATAGAACTTTGTAATTCTGAGGAAGCGTAGTGTCTCTGTCTGTTGACCCAGGTGTTGTGTCCCATACATGTCGGGTTGACAGTGTCACGAAATGTCAAGACCACCGGCTCCTAAATGATAAAATGATAATATTATTGTACTTTTATGTAATTGTGCCAACTGAAGGGGGCAAAGAGGTAGTTGGAGGGGGGAAGGGGAGGAAGAGAGAGGGGCAGGAGGAGGAGGAGGAGGAGAGTAAGAGGAAAGGAGGAGGAGGAGGAGGAGGAGGAGGAGGAGGAGGAGGAGGAGAGGGGGAGCATCACACAAAAACTCGTCTAATCTTTTGCAAAGACTGTCACAGAACGTGTCCCAACAAGAGCCTGATAAGAACGTGCTTGAGGGGGAGATACCTGGGTACCTGCAAGTGTCATCTCTGTGTGGGGAGATGTGCATTATCGTCGACACTTGACACAACAGAGTTTGAGGAGTTGGGTGGCAGTTAGCTCACACACAGACATCAAGATAGCAGACAGACATAGCCTAAGCATTGCACCAGGAAACAGAAACAGCCAATAGAAACTAAGACGCACACCGAAACTTCTATTTTTTAAGCTATCGACAGACAGAATGAAAAGCGGGAAGCGAAACTTCTTTTTTGTAAGCTGTCAACAGTGAGAAAGAAAAGAGGGAAGACATATTACATTGTATATCTTTTGCGACCTCTTGTCACCCGCAGAAAAGAAACTCTGGAAAAAGGAAGAGGGGTAGACTACGCCAGAGCGTCCATCATAGAAGAGGCACCCATTTAAAAAGATAGATCATTGAAGGTGCCTTACAAAAAATAAGTTTAAATTACACCATACATCCAACAAGAAGACTAAATCGAACCAAAGCACCCATAAAAAGGTAAAATGATAGACAACACCAAAACACCCATAATAAAAAGGGCACACAACAGCAAAGCACCCATATGACGGGTAAAAAGGGTAGACAATACCATAAAGAATACTAAAAGTAGAAGAACAGGACTGAAAAGTCGCCAACCACCCGTTGAACCTGTCTAAAAAAAACTTGTTTCTCCTACTTCAACACGTTGAACAACACAACGCAATCGCATTAAGACAATCGGGTTACACTGGTGGTGGTGGTGGAAGATAAAGGAGCCAATTCCACAATGGCGACTTGCAAGTATTCATCTGGATTAATCATCTCTCTCTCTCTCTCTCTCTCTCTCTCTCT